GAAAGCAAACGGGTAATCTCTGAGGTTGGATCAAGAGTAAAATGGAGAAACGCATACTTCCTTTACATTGGAGGGTATAGGATACTTAACAATGACCATTTACAGAACACAGAAATAGTTATTCAGGGAACAAGATAACAATGAGGGGCTCTGTGGGCTCATGTTCTTGTTTGGTGGGTGTTCCCTGAGGAGGCTGGAAAAGAATATTACTTTGACATTTTAAAGTTATGTTATCTTAGATGCAAAAAGACAATAGACAGGCTCACTTAAGGTAAAGACTGACCTTTGTCAAGAAAGCCACAGGCCCAGGTCATGACTACCTGCCGTGATCGCTTTTAGTTAGGAATTTTTATGTTCAGACCATCCTGTGTGGTTACTTTCAGTCTGAATTTGTAAGGCCCTCCATGCAGGCCTCCCCTGGGCTAGTCAGGTTTCACTTCTGAAAATAAGTGAAACTTTATCTCTAGAATCTGAGAAGTACTTAGTAATTATTGTGAAAATGATCCAGTGCCCTAGAAAGTTTTTTAACCTTGTCTCAGAAATTTTTAGCATATTTTTTCCTTTTTCCTATACAATATTTGCACCAAATATTAAGAACATCTTTTTTTAATAGGAAAGAAGTCTTCATTCTTCTAGTGTATAATTCTGACTTTTCTTCTACTCTACTTTATCTTTGTTAAAAAAACATATATTCAAAGAAAGCTCAAAAAAATCATAACTTCTCAAATTAGAACAACCTGTTATCAAATACTTTTGCATTGAGAACAGGTAGTGAGCAGTGGTCATGTCTCACCAACAAAACAAATCTATGAAGCCGTGAGTAAAACAGACCCTCATACTAAGTGTAGAATTATCGTGTGCCTCGAGTAGTGCCTGAGGTGAACCAAATTCCTTAACTGATTTTTCTGTTTGCCTTTCTAATTTCAAGCATCAGTGAAGTAAAAAATAAAAGTGTTAATGTGCCACCTTGTGGATGTGTGAGGAATGGATTTACATAGGGTTTTTTGTTTTTGTGGTTAGAATCTAATATTGTATTTTTATGTTCTTTTCACTAATTATACAAGGAATAATTGAGCAGTGAAAGACACACTGGAAGAACATAAAGAACAATGGATACTCATAAATTACTTGATTATATGAAAAAAATTAGAAATCATCCCAATCTTAGTTTGGAGTGTACCCTATTGAAAGAGCACAATGAATTAACAACTGACTTTTCCTAAAAAAATCTTATTTTTCAGGTCATCTGGCCTAACATTTGAATCTTCCAGAAATATTGTAAATGTTATATTTGGGCAGAACATAACAAAAGTTTCTTTACATTTTATACAGGTATAAACATTTTTTTAGCTCTGACCAGTGTGGCTTAGTTGGTTGGGTGTCGTCCTGCAGAGCAAAATGTTGTTTGTTCAATTCCTGGTCTGGGCACATGCCCGGGCTGTGGGTTCGGTTCCTGGTTGAGGCGTGTGTGTGAGAAGCAACTGATAGATGTTTCTCTCTCACTTCATTGTTTCTTTCCCTCTCTTTCTCCCTCCCTTCCCCTCTAAAAATAAATAAATAAAATCTTTAAAAAAAATTTTAGTATACTATTGACAATGCTTTATTTCTGTATATAGGGTGTATTTATTAAATACTCAACTAAACAAACATTTCACTATAGATTATTTTGAGATAGTGTGACATAGAGGACCAGGAGATTAGTTAATTATTCCAAAGAGGGTTAGCATAGGTTCACTGTCGTGGACGGAATACAGGGCTAGATGGTATCCCAATACTTTAGAGATTTTCATGTTCTCTAGGATTTAGCAAGTCTCAAGCTCTAGGTCCTAGTTTCCTTTTCTGTCAAACGATAGTGTTAGACTAGATTAGTAATGTTCCAACTGTGTTCTTCAAGGAGTTCAAAAATATTTATCCAAATTTTATTGCAAACATATTTTATGAATTTATTTTATATATTACAGTACTAAAATGTATATTTCACGAATTTAGTGTGTTAAAAACTTATATACAATGATACAAACCAAAATCAAATGTATTAAAGATTGTCTATATGTTGTTAAAGAGAAAACCACAGGCCCGAAAGGCATCACTGGTGCTAAAAACCTATGATACCAAACTTAGATTTAATATCTGATCTAATTGCAATGTAATTTCAATCAATTGGTCTAGAATTTTCTGGCCAAGCACCAGTAAGTTAATATTTGCCTATGAGCCTCCTGTCTGGTGTTCTTTCAACTTCATGTGAAAACCAGGACAAAAATATCAACATTATGAAACGTAATTATGTATTTAATTAATTGTTTGTTTCTAAAATTACTGCTGTTTCCTTTCTCTTTTTTCACAATTAAGGTATGAAATTTTAGAGTATGCTGTTTTTCTGCCCAATATATAAATAATACAGTTTGTTTACGGCACAGATTATAGCTATATTTTGAAGAGGGGGAAAAAAGTATATGTGGTATGGTTTAAATTGAGAAGTTGTCCCTGGTTAAATAAAAGATAGTGTGGTAGATTTAAAATGTTCACAAATTCCTCACCGCTCCTTTTGTTGAGGGTAGAACCTATTTCCCCTTCCTATTAGCTGGCCAGGACCTGTCATTTTAGCCCATCCTTTATGGTTGGTTTAGGCCTCCAAGTCTGCAAGGCTGTCAGGCAGGTATTCCCCAAGCTTGTCAGGCTTAGCATGTGACCTCTTTCCTTCCACTGCAGTATCGAAAGGAAAAAATTTCCTCTATCTTCGAAGGTTCTTCTGTCTGGTCTAATGATTAAATTGACATGAGACAAATTAGCAAGAGAAAAATTAAAGTTTAATATAAACAATAAAATGACTACAAATACATATCCATCAACAAATCTAAAAAAACAAAATCAACAAACAAGCAGAACAGAAACAGAATGAATCATAGAGAGGTTTTGATGGCTGCCAGGTGGGAGAGGGGATGATGGGGAATGGGCAAAAAAAGGTGAAGGGATTAAGAAGTACAATTTGTTGTTACAGAATAGTCACATGGATGTAAAGTACAGCATAGGGAATAGAGTCAATATTAGTCTAATAACTATGTATGGTGTTGATACAGAGAGGTCAGATCAGATCACTAGGGAGGAGTCGGGAGGGAATGTAGTAAATGGTTGCCCCAGGCAATGGTAAACAGTCTGGGATGGGATTGACTGAGAAGCCTCCAGAGCACAGGGAACTAGGGGCCAGAAAATTTAAAATATAAGGAGGGCAGAGACCGGCTCTCTGGCTCTGTCTTCCTTGGAGATGCCTCAGTGGTCCTGTTGTAGCTGCCTGCTGACGATATTTTGGACTGTAGAAGGAATTCTGGGCACAGCCTAGGATTGGGCTGGCCTGCATGGGGTGGCAGGGTTATTCTTTTTTGTGTGTTCTAGAGGGGACGGACTCTAAGGCAGAAGCCTGCCATTCTTTAAAATTGTGTAGTTTTGTATCTTATGTTGTTTTAGTTTATAAACTAGTCCTATAGGAATAAGGTAATTAAAAACTAACGGGGAATAATTGGGGAAGGAGGAGTTAAAGAGTTTAGCCTTAATTGATAGGCTTAAGTGACTAATGCCTGTGGAAAGCTGTTATTCCAAAGTTGTGTAGCATTTAACAAAGTTGTATAGTGGTGGTAGGCAGCAGGACCCCACTTGCTGTTTGGTAGCAGTGTCAGATGGGTGGATGATCACTTATTAAGTTATGTATTATCTAATTCCTGGGGTGTACACTTGAACCTATTATAATATAATAATGCATGTCAACTGTAATTGAAAATAAAGAATGATTTTAAAAATTTCATAACTTGCATGCCTCCTGTATATACAAGACACTCAGGAACACCAAGTAACTCATCAAAATGATGGAAGCCATCACCTTAAATGCCACCTTCAGCTAATGACAAAAGATGTTAGGGGTGGGGAGTGAGTTACTGGAGGTTACCAGGAAAAGTAGTTAACTAAGGGAAGGATCTTTATGCAGAGTTCTTCACTGTTAACAAACAGTAGATGTACTCCTCCCTGGTACAGTGAGGGAAATACCCTTCCAAATGGAGCTTTCCCTTACCAATGTGAATGTCCTTTAAAAACAGAAACTTATACTTAGTTTTCGGAGCTTCTCCTATAATTTGCTGTTTCTTTATATTAACCAGCCTAAAATAATCCATATCCCCAAGAGGCATATTTTGCGGTGGCAAACTCTCCTCCCCTTCAGTTACAGTAAGGTAAGAGAACAACTAAAACCTCTTTTTCAAAACAAAGACAGGAGGATGACCTTGTGATTGACTCCCATACATGTCTTGTGAGCTGTACTTCCGCACGTAACGTTTAGAGTTCCAAGGTTCAGAAGACACACAAACTTGCATTGCAGTGGAGACCAAGCGTTTCCTCGGGCTGATGAAATTCTCAAGAACACTCATTGCCTGGAGCAGGAGGATGGGGAGGGGCCTGCGTTCCTTCTGGGGTGAGGTAGGGGGTAATTACATCATTGCAACCTTCCGTGGGTCACAAACAAGGGCTTCTATTGTGCTACAACTTAAGACCATGGTCGAATGGAGGGGGGTCACTTCTGTCTGGCAGGGAGCCAAGAAAAGCCTCTGTGAAGGAGTGGTGTCTGAGCTGGAATTTTGGAAATTTAATAAATATTTGAGAGAGGAATGAGTGGTGAATCACAAGCAACCTATTGGTTGCCAAAGACCTAAAGGTTTCTACTTGGCGTCAGAATCTTACTGAAAACGAGGAAGGGAAAAAAAGCAGTATAACAACCCTCAGAATGGTGCTTTCATACGCCCAGGCTGAAGTACAGGTTCCCTTGTTCAAACCGCCAGGGCCGGTAAAAAGCCAAGAAGCTGCAAACTGGAGAGGGCGGGGCCATGCTAGGGGCGGGGCTACGGAAGCCGATGGGTGGGGGCCTGTCGGGCTCCACTGTGCTGTGAGCGGCGCTCGCATTTATATCCTCTCTTGCCGCTGCCACCGTTGCTCCTGAGACAGAGGGGCAACCTCCCATCCTCTGAGTTGCCAGGCAGCTTCTGTTGGGTCAGCGGCGTGAGGGGAGAGCCCCGGCGTGGCCCCGGCACCTCCTGGTCCGTTGTACTCCCTCCCGGCCCCTCGGCCGAGCCCCTGTCCGTGTCCCCCGGCAGGTCCGGGGGATTGGGAAACCACCTCCACGGAGGCTCCGCCGGACTTGCAGACTGGGCCTCAGCCCGCGCCCGCAGTGGACGGCGTCATGAAGCATCTGCCACATTTCTGCCGCGGCGAGGTGGTGCGGGGCTTTGGCCGTGGCTCCAAGCAACTGGGCATCCCCACAGGTGAGCAGTGGAGGGCGCGGACGCGCTGAGGCCGTGCCACGTGGGAAGGGGACATCAACTGGGGCTTTGGACGGGGGTCAGACAGTATCTTGGGACTGAGGACAAAGGTGACACCCTCCCTTCTGCCCATCCCCGCTCAGTTGAGGTGGAGGATCCTTGATCGGGCTGAGGGATCGGGACAAGGCTGGTGCTTTCAAGTATTCCAGGGAACTGCCTTGAGGGGTGGTGAGGGCAAGAAGCTGGACCTGTTTTGCGGTCTCCCTTTGCCATTTCTGTGGCTGTGATAGAGCTGCTAAGCATGGCACGAGCCCTTCCCATTAGAAAACATAACGTGGGCAGATTGGCTAAGTTTTCATGCCAACAGTAGGGTTTTTAAAAAAATCTGTTACTAGATTGTGTCCAAGTGATCACACAGGCAGTTGAATGAAAACCAGATCTCTTTTTTGGCCCTTCTGCATGAGTTTTAGTAGTCCAGACTTGAAGGTAAGAGTAATTGATTTTTTAAAATGCAGTCAGGGCTGCCTCCAGACCTATTAAAGCAGTCTGTGAGTTTGGAGACTAGTTATGTGTATTTCCAAAATGAGAATCTTTCTGATTCCAAAAGACCAGGTCTAAAAATTCTAACTCTTTGTCTATTTGTCTTCTACCTCGAGATTGTGATCTGGTACCTTGTTCCTAACCTAGTAACATGAAGAGGAGAAATTTGATCCACAATATGAAATGGTGGGAATGATAATCGTAGGAAAAGTCGTAGCAATCTTGTGAGCCTAATTATTTAGACTAGCTTTGCATGCTATTTTTATGAGTAATATAACACTCTTAACACTCAGAATATTTACTTCTGTTTTTAAGCTAACTTCTCTGAACAAGTAGTAGATAGTCTTCCGGCTGACATATCCACTGGCATTTATTATGGATGGGCCAGTGTTGGAAGTGGAGATGTCCATAAGGTGGTGATAAGCATAGGATGGAACCCATTCTACAAGAACACAAAAAAGTCCATGGTAAGAATGTATTTCATTCTAATTGAAAATGGGGGGATGACCTAGAGTAATATGCAGTATTAGATGTACCTATAGTGGTGTGGACTACCTCAGTGGTAATCACATAGTCTAAATTCTGGAATTTTGGGCAACATATTTGAAAGATTTAAGAGTGAAGTATTTAGTTACTATTTCAATGGAATAACTTTCCAACCTTTGTCTTTCAATCTGTTTGTGTCTGGATCTAAAGTGAATCTCTTGTAAGTGTATAGTTGAATCTTCTCTTTTTAATCATTCTGCTAATCTGCCTTCTGATTGGAGAGTTTAACCCATTTACATTTAAACTAATTACTGACAAGGAGGGAATTATGCTATTTTGGTATTTGTTTTCTATATGCCTTATAGCTTTTTTGCCCATTATTTTCTCCATTACTGCCTTTTGTGTGCACTTGACTTTTTTTTTGTAGTGACATTTTGATTCCCTTCTGATTTCCTTTTGTGTATGTTCTGTAGATATTCTTAGTTTTTACCATGGGGGTTCCATTAAAGAGTCTAAAGTTAAAAAAGTCTAATTTGAATTTACACCAACTTTAAGAGCATATACAAATTTTTGTTTTGTAAATCCTCACTTGAGGATGGAGATATATCTATCCCTATAGATATATATCTGTATATACATATATGGATACACACACATGGAGTGAAAGAAGAAATTACAGTTTTATACACTGTGCCCAATAACATAACATAACAATTTTTATGCATTTATTTTTAAAGTCTTGTAGAAAATAAAAAGTGGAGTTGCAAACAAATTACAGTAATATTAATTTTTATAACTGCCCATGTATTTACCTTTGCAGGAGATAAAAGTGCTTGAAGAGCATGTTTCATCAAACTCAGCTTGCCACAGTTTCTGTAGTTCATTCACCCTTTAATTACTTGGTCACCCTGTTAACAAGTTGGTGTCCTGAGGGTTGTGGTAGTCAGTGTCAAGGATATTAATTCCTTTTTATTCAAAATTTTACTGAAAAGAAAGACCACAAGTCACATTCATTCGTTCATAGTATTGGTTGGCCAAAAAGTCTATATGATTTTTTTCAATAAAATAAAAGACACATTTTTCATTTTCACCAATAACTTTATTGATTTGGATATTTTGAGTATGTTAGCTATCTCCTGTATGGTATAATATTGATTGTTTTCAATTACTGTCTCGATTTGATCGCTATCAACTTCAACTGGTCTACTTGACCATGGAGCATTGTCTAGTGAGAAATCACCAGCACAAAATTTTGCAAACCACTTTTGACACATTTGGTCAGTCCAGCATCTTCTCCATTCACTGAACAAACCTTTTTTTTGCGTTTCAGTTGTGTTTTTACCTTTCTTGAAATAATAAAGCATACTATGTTGAAAATGTTGCTTATTTTCTTTATCTTCAATATTAAAATGGCTACACAGAAATTCACCAAATTTGATAAATGTTTTTTAAATGAATGCTTATATGACAGCTGTCACAATAAAATCTGACAAAAGTTTTTTGAATGAAATTAGAGAAAACCAAGTGCTACTAGGGCCACCTTACAGAAAAAAACAAACTTTTTGGCCAGCCCAATATAAAACCATGGGGCACCTAGGTCTTCTAACCCAAATGCCTCAATTACAGATGAGAAAGCTGAGTCATAGAGAAGTTAGTTATGCCTTTAGCCGCATATGCAGCTTGAAACTGTAGACTCTAAACTTGCTCCTCTTAGTACAGTACTGCTTTGCTTCTCCTAAACACTTGGAACTTAACATAGTATATAAGTTCAACTCTTCTATAGATGATTTAGTTATCTAACAAAACCAAAGCTTTGATAATAGCTTTAAGAAAAGTTCTATTTTTTAACTTTTTTTATTTAATGATTTTAGAGATAGAGAGAGAAACATTGATTTGTTGTCCCACTTATTTATGCATTGGTGATTCTTATATGTGCCCTAACTGGGGTTGAACCTGAAACCTTGGCATATCAGGACAATGCTCTAACCAACTGAGCTACCCAGCCAGGGCCTAAAAAGTTCTATTTCTAATATCAATGTTTCCTTTTTTTAAATCATTTAAATCAGAGTTCCTTTTTTAATGGGCTTCATAAAATCCATAAATCCCATTAAGTGTATAAAGGGTGAACTTGCTATATTTAGTAAGAAAGAATTACTCAGATTTTCTTGTTTGATTTCTTTAAAATAGGCCATTCTTATTAAACATAGTATTTCAAAATATACCTCTAGTGTCAAGTTACATATTTCTAAATTGCGTAACAACCTTTCAGTGCCACCATTGGAGCCCAGCCTCAACTGTCTTATTATTTACTTGCTCTTTACATTGGTTTTTCTGCCTTTTTGATCTCAGATTCTCTTATTAGGCGCCTCCTAAAATTCTGATTTTTCCAAAGTGTCTTTTACCTCCTGCAGCACTTTGCTTCAGCATGTGTCATACCCATTCATTATATAATTCCCAGACCAGGAGGCAGCTTGGGCTCTTCTGCCCCACATCAGCCTTCAGCCTTGTCCAGTCCTCAGAAGTTCCTCTAACTGGTGTGTGTTAGAGACACTCAGACCCCGACTATCTTTGGAACTCGCTTTGTTAGGGGTAACATTTCTTAATACTTTAGCCATTCCCTTACTAGTGTCTTTGCTCAGTTTCCACATTGCTGAGACTTAATTACTTTGCTGCATGTTGATTTTTTCTGTAAACAGCAAATCATACCAGGTTTGTGGTGTAACATCTACATTAGTCAGTAATGTTTATATGTAAAGTCGGGCAGGAACAGGAGCAGTGGAAAAATTCAGGAAAAACTGCATGTAGATTTTAACCTGTCTTTCAAAATTTAACAAGGGTTGATTGGCTTTTTTTATGTGTATATTTTGAATTTTAGGTATTCTGCATTCTGATGGCAATTTTTTTTTTTTTTAACATTTCTCGACTGTAGGAAACCCATATCATGCATACCTTCAAAGAGGACTTTTATGGGGAAATCCTCAATGTGGCCATTGTCGGCTACCTCAGACCAGAAAAGAATTTTGATTCTCTAGGTAAGTTCTTAGTTAGATTATCTTAAGTATTACTGTAGGTACTTATGCTTCTGCTAGTAACAACCATCGTAGTACAGGTAGTACTTGAGCATTTAATGTGTGCCAGGCATTATTTTAAGTGCCTTAAATGAATTAACTCATTCCATCCTCACAACAAGCATATGAGGACCTCTTCTGCCCATTTTTCAGGTAAGGAAATTGGCACAGAAAGATTACATAATTTGCCCAGGGTCACATAGTAAGTGATGGACCATAGATTCAAACCCAGCAGGCTGTCTGCCATTCCAACAGTATGAAGTTAATAAATTCTTTGTTTCCTTTTCATATTTTAAGGACCAAGTAAGAATTAGTAAGTTGTAATGAATAGTGGATGTTTTGCTGTGCTTGGTGTAAGAAACAGTCAAAACATTATATCAAGTATCTTAGTGTGGTATGATAGTTTGAATTGTAGAGTTTTGTTTACAAGTATAAATGCTGAAGAGAATTAATAGTGAATTTATTTCTTCCATTTGGTATTTGCAATGTACTTTTTTGCTGATGCCTTTCTCTAAGAAATTGCTATAAGGTTAGAGAAGTATTTTGTGTGCTATTGACTTTTTACTTAAGTCTGTGAGAATGGATAGAACAATTACTGGACAACGACCCTGTTCCAGAGACACTGCCAGCTTTGTGAGGTGTTTTGAGGAGAATTTGAACAAAGGAGTAGTGAAAAATGTAGCAATAGTTTTCATCTTTATCTGGTATTTTTTCTCTGCAGAGTCACTTATTGCAGCGATTCATGGTGATATTGAGGAAGCTAGAAAACAACTAGATTTACCAGAACATTTGAAACTCAAAGAAGATAATTTCTTCCAGGTTCCTGAAAGCAAAATAATGAAAGACCGTTGAGGAAAAGTCATCTTCCTTATTCATTCACTGTTTTCCAGTATTTTACTGCTCATAACTGTGTAGTCTCATCCTGGCCAAAAACCAAACATTTTCCTATAGCTGTGAATTTAGTTTAAACAGGACAATGTAATTATCATTATGCTTTAACTGTTAAATTAAACCAATCATGGTATAGTACTAAAAAGATTCACTTTAAAAATCAAGATTCTTTTCATGTCATGTGTTGACTAAAATTTACCACTAGAAAGGTCTTAAGTGTCTTATAAGGGAAATGAAGTGTATGTAGCTAGGGGTAAAAAGACAAGTCACTAGTTTGAAATGAAGACTAATTCTCATGGTAAAATACTAACATGTATGTACTTGTATAGCATGTGCTGCTAAACAGAGAAGGCTTATGAAAGTAAATGTATTAAACAGGTTTTATAGTTTATTATAAACCCCTCATACTTTGTATTTTTATATTTTCTGCATTAATATAGTACTACAAACATGATGACTTGTGAAATTTTAATGAGTCATTTTCTTTATGAGGTCGAATTATTGTAGTGTGTGTGTGTGTGTGTGTGTGTGTGTGTGCGCCAGCTGCTTCAGTTTTAATTGGTATAGACTCCCTCTTCCTATTAGGTTTTTTTTTTTTTCTTTTGGTTTGTCTTTTAAAACATTAAGTGAGTGTTTTTCGAAGTTGTAGTTTTATTTTTGTGTTATATAGCACTTTTCTCTTTTTAAGAGTAGATATTCCTCACCATTTTTCTTTTTTCCTTTAAATAACCACCTGTGTCAATTTTTTTTTTATTTAGAATATCCTATGACTTACAAGGATTGCATCTATCTCTACCATTTCATCCCTTCACTATATGAAAGAACCCTGAAAGTATCACCTTTAGGTTTCTGCAAAGTTTAAACGAACATGTGACAGTTCGTTTTTATTGTACTGGGTTCTTAAAGACAAAAAATAGTTGTTCCCTACTTCCCCAGGGAAAATGTTTTAAGAGCCAATTAAACTATGAAATAGAAAATTATTTAATTTTTAACACGATTATGTAATCCTGAGCAAACAAACTATTGTAGTTGTGCACGCACAATATGATTTATGGTAAGAGTGCTTGTAGCTTGGGGGAAAGGTACAAATAATAAAGTTTGAGTAAATCGTCATACTATGCATTTTTTTCTTCCTAACAACTAACTCTTGTTTATATTGGAAACTTTATATTGGCAAGAAGTTAAATTCTTTGGATACTTAGGAAATTAAGATTACAGGTTCTTTAGGCCCCAGAAACAGTACATTGTATTACTCACTTAGGCACCAGGTTTGGTTGAGGGGTGGGGACAGGCATATAGACGGTAATTTTTTTTCATCAGTCTGTACCGTGTATCCATGCCTCTGTTTCTTTTCAGTTTTATTTTTTCCCATTACCATTTAGTCCTCTTGTATCCCCCTTCTCCTGCAAACACCACACTCCTGTCCATGTCCACGAGTCCTTTTTTCCTTTTTGTCAGTCCTTCCACCCCTTCTCTCCTGTCCCCCGTATAGTCCTGCTCTCTGAGTCTGTCTCTATTTCGCTTGTTAGTTCAGTTTGTTCATTGGATTCCACATATGAGTGAAATATGTTATTCATTATTTGTCTTTCTCTGACTGGCTTACTTCACTTAGCATAATGTTCTCCAGGTCCAGCCATATTGTCGCAAAGGGTAATTAATAGAAGGTAATTTTAAAGATAACGTATTGCAAGTAATTTTTCACTAAGCTGCACAAATAACTGATTTTAACCAAAATATAAGGTATTTGGAATAACAAAAAGTTAATTTAGGGGAAGTGGAAACATGAATAAATTCAGTGGGATTGTTTTCGGTGTATGAATTTATGGCAAATGATGTGTCTTCATGTCTTCTCTATAAAAATACTTAGGAAATGTAATTTAATGTTAGAAATCCTATACTTGAAAGAAGCTTCAAATATCAGTGGCTTTATGAAGCAAAGGTAAGAACAAATGTGTGTGTTTGAATAGATTGCTGCCAGTTATGTCCTCAATGTGTGAAAGTTTTTTGATAGTTTGTCACCTTACATTTTGTGAAATTGCCATCACTTTTGAAAATCATATAGTGTGTGGGTTAGGAGTTAGGTAATACCATTTAATGTTTTTTTTTTAAGCTTTAGTTTAAATATTGATGTATTATAAGAAATTACAATAGTACCATTTTTGATTGGTCTAAATGATTTCCGGCTTTGAAATAAATCTTGACTAACCGATGTCATAACTTTGCTCATCTTGTTCATTCAATATACAGTTGACATTCATTATATTTATTTCAGGTGTACAGCACAGTGGTTAGACATTTATGTAATTTACAAAGTGTTCCCCCAATAAGTCTAGTACCCACCTGGCACCATACAGAGTTATTACAGTGTTATCGACTATATTCCTTATGCTGTGCTTTACATCCCCATGACTGTTTTGTAACTACCAACTTGTACATTTTAATCACTTTATCTTTTGCATCCAGCTCCCCATCCCCCCTCCCACCTAACAACCTTCAGTTTGTTCTCTGTATGTATGTCTGTTTCTGTTTTATTTTGTTCTTTAGATTCCACATATAAGTGAAATTGTATGGTATTTGTCTTTCTCTGCCTGACTTATTTCACTTAGCCTAGTATCCTCTAGGTCCATCTATGCTGTTGCAAATGGTAAGATTTCATTTGTATATATGCCAATCATGGGCACTTAGGTTGCTTTCATATCTTGGCTATTGTAAATAATGCTGCATTGAACAGAGGGGTGCATATATCTTTTCAAATTAGTGTTTTGGATTTATTTCAGATAACCAGAAGTGGAATTGCTAGGTCATGAGGTAGTTCTGTTTTTGATTTTTGAGGAATGTCTAGAATTTTTTCATAATGGCAAGGCCAATTTATAGTACCACCAACATTGCACAAGGGTTCCCTTTGCTCCATATCACCAACATTTGTTGATTTATTGGTGATAGCCATTCTGACAGGTGTGAGGTGATATCTCATTGTGGTTTTAATTTGCATTTCTCTGATTAGTGACGTTGAGCATCTTTTCACTCATCTGTTGGCTGTGAGTACGTCCTCCTTGGAGAAGTGTCTGTTTAGGTCCTCTGCTCATTTTTTAATTAAATTGTTTTTTGGGGGTTTTTTTTTTGGTGTTAAATAGCATGAGTTCTTGATAGATTTTGGACATTAACCTCTGATTGGATATGTCATTGGCCAATATATGCTCCCATTCAGTCCATGCAGTGGGTTGGCCTTTTTTTTTTTTTTTTGGATGATTTTCTTTGTTGTGCAGAAACTTAAGTTTGATGTCTCATTTGTTTATTTTCCCTTGACCTCATTTTTCACCTGTATAAATAATATGATGTAACCTCTTATCTGTCCTACTCGAAATAGGAATCATCCCTTAGTTCCACGTATCCACACTGAATGTGCTGGCTCCCTGCGTGTTAGTCACATAATAGCCAGCTAAGTTATCAGAGAGAGACCACATTCATGTAACAATACAGTATATTGTTATAAGTGTTCTATTTTATTATTTGTTGTTAATATCTTACTGTATCTAATTTATAAATTGAACTTTATTGCCCTGGCTGGGTAGCTTAGAACATCGTCCCAATATACCACAGTAGTGGATTGATCCCTGGTCAGGACACATACAAGAAGCAACCAATGAATCCATAAATAAATGGAATAGCAAGTTGATGTTTCTCTCCCTCTCTCTTCCCCCCACCTTGAAATCAATAAAAATAAAACGTAAAATAAATAAAACTTTATTATTCTCTGTATAGGAAAAAATGTAGCCTATATAGGATATAGTACTATCTGTAATTTCAGGCATCCATTGGGGGTCTTGGAACATTTCCCACAGATGAAGTTGGGGGGTCATACTGTCCAGTATTCAGTTCGATTTAAAGGCACTTAACAGAAGGGCGATATATTTGAGTAGCATTCATGAATATATGAATTTACATACCAACTCCATAATAGTACAATGTCTTGTATTTTTATAATCACCTTAAGTTTTTAGAGCATTAAGTTTTAGAGGTCTTGAACTATATTTTAATTTCTTGGATACCTGTGTATGTATAGAAAGTGCTCTGTATATAATTATACATTAATTAGAAATAATTTATCTCTAATATTGGGACCTGACTACATCAATAGAACTAGAGAGAGCTTCACCAGGAGCCAAGCTTATGGGACAAATAATTTTTAAACCTTCCTTGGTGCTTCCTCTTATAGTTCCACTGTATTTTTTTAAGGCCAAATCTATGCTATGGATGAAACCTCCTCTAGGGCTGAATTTTGTTACCTTACAAGGCCTAGTTTAAAAACCATGGGTAGTAAATTATGTTTTTCTTATAGAAAAATTGTGACTTCTAAAAATTTTTCCTAATTTTTTTGTGAATTAATAGTTTAAAAAAACAATAAATCACCAGAAGAACAGTCACATTTGGATGTCTTGGCAATGTCAAAATGCTATGAAAGATTAATTTTAAACTCTCAATCTCAGTAGTAGATAGTTCGACAGCACAGTAGCAGAGTCTACAGGGCGTATTTTGAGGGGCCCTGCGCTCAAGACCATAAACTTGCCCTTTAAGCTGTAGCAGGGCTGACGAGGGTTTTTTTGTTTGTGGTTTGTGTTTGTGTTTTGTTTTTGTTTTTTGTAAAGGGCCAGAGAGTAAATTCTTTGGGTTTTTGCCATGGTGAAAAGTGACCACAGACAATAAATGGGCATAGCTATGTTTCAAAACTTTACTGCGGCAGCTGGAAGGATTTGGTTCAGAGGCCCATAGTTTGGCAAATCCGGAGTTAGATTTTTCAGTCTTTATTAGGATGTAGTGCAATAGTTACCTCATTTGTAATTATTACGCAGGTTTTAAGTTATTTGTGTGCACATTTTATTTCAGTGTATAGGTGTTTAAATGAGGGAGGGTAGCTATGAATTCAAGTGGTATTGGCATTTTAAAATCTGGAGTGTCTAGGTGAATTTAAAATGTCTACTGTCTTAGTTGCAGGTGTAAATTATCACAATATACCAGCACTGAATGTGTGGGAACTAAATGTGTCCCCTGCCACTTCATGGGTTGAAATCCTGACACCCGATGTGTTAGCAGGTGGGGCCTTTGGTCATGAGGATGGAGCGCTCACTGATGGGATTATTGCCCTTACAAAGACTCCAGAGAGCTCTCTAGCTCTCTTTTCACATGGGAGGATGTGATGAGAAGTCAGCAGTCTGAAAGGGGAAGTAGAGTTTGCCACCCCCTAATATGCCTTCTGGGATATTATTTTAAACTGGTTATGTGTAGGAAAAGAATGACTCACAAAACACCTTTGACCTTTCCTCTAAGTGCCTAAAAGAATTCAGAGGACCTGCTCCAGAAAGGGAGGTATCATCACAGACAACTATAGTTAATGTGAACTAGGTAGATGGGGTAGACAGGAAGGAACCTAGCAGGCCCATTTGGTCAAAATGCTTCCTGTGTCCCATTTCAAGATGGCCCAACAAACATTTGTTTACATTTGTTTAGGATAGGATCCTAAAAGATTTATGTCCACTTGCTTCCTCCGGGGCATTGAGAAAACTTCCTGGTGTGGGTTCTGCTTGGATCCAACTAAACAAATACTTGCTGCTGAGTCACTCATGGGAAATCCTGGTGAATCTCAGGGTCCCTGTAAGCCTCTCTGAGTCTTCAAAATATTTTTTCTTGCTGCGCCAGGAGTTGTTTTGCTTACAGATTTGCTGGTGTTTCAAATTTATTAAAGGTTCCCCATCCAGTACAGTATTTCTGTCAAATGAAGTTTTGTTTGTTTGTTTTTTTAATTATGTTTTTGAATCTATCTCCTGAACTTCTGGGAAACACCCTGTCTGGTTTCAGGAACTGTAACCCCGCTGACAGGCGGAAGGGCCCCCAGGCTGGAAATAATCAGGAGGCTTTGGAGAAACAGGCTCCTGAGGAGACATAAGCTGTCCCCACTGGCAAGGGCATAACTCCTGCCTCTCTGGTTTGTCAAGGAGGATTGGGTATCAAGGACGGGTAAGTTACCTTGAGCTGAGGTATACAACCTAAGACAGATTCCAATTGATTATTGGCAGCAGACAAGAAATTGGGGGACATGGAAAAACGGCAAAAAGGCCCGCACCTCTCGGCTCGGCTTGGACATGACCGGAGTCCTCATTCTACCCGAAAGAAGTCTCCTTGTCTCTTGGTGGCCTCTCCCCGCCGCCCGCCCCGCCCCGCCTCCCCCCACCTGGCTCAGGCTTGAAACAATACATGAGTCAGCCCTAAAGCAGATCTGGCGGTTCCTGGGGAAATCAGGCCTAAAAGTAAATTCTTTAAAGTGTGCTTTGTTCTTCCCTCAAAAGCTCTAGCCAGCTCCTGCTGAGAAGGACATTTATCTTATTCACAGGCCCTAATCCTACACCCTTAGGCACTCCTATGTTTACTATGCTCTCCTGTTTAGTCGTCTCTCTTGTTAATACCAGTCACCTCTCAGACCCATGTAAATCAGTGTGTTCCTGCCATTTGTTTTCTTCAAAACATCACCCATTCTCTGTGAACATTAATATACGGATGTAATGAGATAACCTGTGCATTCCTGTTACCTAGCCCCACTGATAACCTTTTCAATAAAAGCCTTTGGAAAGAGTTGTGAGGAGGGCTTCTCCACTAAGAGGGAAGTGCCCATGTCTACTCTCCCCGCCAACACAGAGGTATTTGCAACTATTTGTGTTTATTCCCCTCGTCCGTGACACCCCCGGGCCAGGCTCTGCAGAATTCAGAGCCCTGCCGCCATCTCAGCCGGCCTCGGAAGGTTTCCCTCGGATTCAGGGAGCGCGGCGCCCCTTGCGGCGGGCTCCGCCCCCCGGTTGAGGTGACTGCTGCCAGGCCTGGATGAGTGGCAGCCCTAGCAGCGCTCCCCTGCAGCGGCGCGCCCCATGTAGCCACCTTGCAGCGCAACGCTGAACCCAACACAGTGAAAACTAATGTTCTGAGGTTTCCCCCATATTTCAAAACCGGATTTTCATCTGATCCTTAGTCTGACCAGCTAGACCTGTTCTCTACTGCTTCCCATAGATTTAATTTGAATACTTTCCAAAGTTTTAGGAGATGGAAGAAAGTGCTATCTTAGGTTCTGTCCTTTTGGAACATTTATTTCTCCTTTTCAGACAGTCTTGCAAAGGGATGGATAACATAAACTATCTATTACTGCAATAGCTTAACTA